TGTGTGTGTGTGTGTGTGTGTGTGTGTGTGTGTGTGTGTGTGTGTGTGTGTCTGCGCGCGTGGTGAACGGGGTGGAAAAAGGGAGACGGTGGTAATTAATTGAGTACCTCCTTCCTTCTGCTGAGATGCATTCCCCTCAGCCCGGGCTGGCTCTGAAAAGCAATGTTGAAGCAGTTTGCCTCCGAATAGACCTAAATTCTGTCCACAGGGGCGTAACATATCTACAGTTACATTTACAGTACATTTCAAATTAGAATGTCGACACACTTTGCCGAGACTAACATAATGTAACAACAGCAATAATGCTGAATGTTCACTTGATAATTCTGCTGACGAGCCACCAGTTGGAGGATGCTTTTGTCAGGCCCTGCGTTTCACTTCTCCTATTTTTCATCATACACTCTATTATAATTATTGTTTCTATACCCACCATCTTGCCCTATTCCCAGCACTGTATCCTTAGATATGACCATTATCGAGTCACTTTGCATCTTATTAACCCAAAACAAACACGTTCAACAGGAAATTTATTTGCTTGTACGTCGATGTTTTTGGGGGCTTGTTTTTGAATTATACACCGACTATCTTGGAATGTTTCCAGTTAACTTTTGTTTGTTGACAGATAGAATGCCTGTCAACATCAATTGTCCGCATGGTTTCTTATCACGCCACACGATGTTTGGAAGATTCAAGAGAAACTTTTTGCCAACTTTAAGGTAAATTTTAATCGTAATCGTCTGTAGGAGCGAAAAATCGTGCCCTACAAGAGTCAATATTATTGTATAACAATTACATCAGATGACTTATTTCCCATACGTTTAAGGCAGATTACAATAGAAACCTACTTGAGTTTCTGAAAGACGTTATTGAATGTGTGTGTGTGTGTGTATGTGTGTATGTGTTTGTGAGTGTGTGTTTGTGTGTTTGTTTATGTTTTTGTGAATGGGAGTGTGTGTGTGTGAGTGTGTGTGTGTGTGTGTGTGTGTGTGTGTGTGTGTGTGTGTGTGTATGTGTGTGTGTGTGTGTCTGTGTGTGTGTGGGTGTGTGTGTTATTGTGTGCTGTTTTTTTTATATATACAGACAAAAATATCTCGGCTACGCTTTAATTATGTTTTATGCTTACCCTTCACAAGGTCCTTAGTGGGTGGTTGGCGGGTGCTCTGGTGTGGTTTGCTTCTTCTTTCCTATCAAACGTCTATCGTCCTGATCTCTCCTCCTTCTATTTTGTGTTTGTTCCTCTCTTGTAACACCTCTAATCTTCGGCACTTATATGACCTTATTGTGTTGCAAGTGCCGTAAAACTCTTTACTAAAACTAAAAAACAAGGTCCTTACTATTTTTTTGCTTACTGTAATCACAGCCTTTACTGTTTTTTTTTTGCTTACTGTTTACAAGGTCCATACAGTTTTATGTTCACTGTTCACTCTGTTTATGCCATTCCTTTACGAACTAAGAACACGACTACACTTACATTTTATATTTATTGTTTACTCGGCCCTTCTCCACGATTTGTTCATAATCAATGTCAAAAGACAAGCAATCAAGTACAAACATTTAGGAAAAATTCAGCCAAGCTCGAAAACAAACAGAGCTGACGTGAGCAAAATATTTAAGACTTGAGTTGCCGTTTAGTCAGCCATGTAGTGAAAAAACGTACACAGTTTGCATAACATATCACTCGCCCACCTCATTGAAATAAATAAACAGATGATAAGTTTGCTTAGTGTTACCGAGTTCAGAGGGTGAAAAGTTGTGCACTTCTGGGTTATAAAAAAATATTTTATTCTGTTAATCTGTTTGCTTAATTTTAATTCTATCTATTTATCTATTTATCTATTTATTTATTTATTTATTTATTTATTTATTTATTTATTTATCTATTTATTTATTTATTTATTTATCTATTTATTTATCTATTTATTTATTTATGTATTTATTTTTGGCCTAATGTCCTATTTATTTTGGCCTAATGTCCACCATGACTCCATCGTATGGTTCGAAAAAATCTGGGTAGTGTGTTTTTTATAAGGTACCTTTGCCCTTTGCACTGTCTTGTCTTGTCTTGGGTTGTGTAAAGTGCAAAAAGGAACTGCTTCTTTTCTTTCTTGACATTTCTCACCCATTTGTTGTTCCAGCTTTAACAGTAATAATACCATTGTGTGCATTTTTTTGGGGGTACGACTTTGACAAAACGTGGAACCAACCAAACAGATGAGCAAGCAAATGGTGCACATAATAATACTGTTATAGTTAATAATAATAAATAATAAATAGCATTTGTATAGCGCATATCCCCGCTCGACAGCAGGCTCTATGCTCTTTACACTATATTATTACCCCAGCAGACCATAGAACACTCCGAAATATTCTCAGCTTCCCGGGAAGCATACAGTGCAAGCAGCTGATTAAGCGCTCAAACACAAACAAACTGACAAGTTCTTTCGCTGTTCATAGCCGGGTACCCATTCCCACCTGGGTAAAGTGAGGAAAATTCGTGTTAAGTGCCTTTCCCAAGGACGCAACGTTGGGCCCCTGACGGGATTCGAATCCACGA